GGAAATGTTTGTTTGTGAAAAAAATCTACTTAAAATTGTATGAAATTAATAAGGATACTGCCATAAATATAAATCAGTAAAAAATTCATTTTAATATACTATAATAAAATAAAGAATAAAATTAAAAAAATATAATAAAAGAAAAAAAAAAATGGATGGCAACCACAAAAAACAAATTTAAAGGTATTGGTAACCATATTGTAATGTTATCGCCTAACCCTTTACAATTGTCAACAACAACACTTGGTATGTATGTACCGATATATCAAATTAGAACATTAATTTCAATACTCAAAACGAGCTGCCCCTTTCCTTCCAACCGTAATGTAAAAACAAGTCTTTTAAGGATACTTTCTACTCTTTTCTTTTTTTCGCTTTGTAATTGAAGAAACTTGATATTAATAGCGGACAAGTATAATTGAATATGAATAAATATTATGATAATTTTCTGAGATACAAGTCTTTTTACTTTTTTTTCCCACTGAAACAATCAAGGGCCAAACTTTACAAATTAGTTTTCAACATCCCATTATCTAAAAGAAACTTTTTTCATCTATGGCTTAATCTGTTAAAAAAAGTATTTATGTCAATAAGTATATTTTTCCAACTAATGCAGTAGAAATAAAAACACAGAAATCTTGGTCTATCTGAAAAAATTTAATATCTATAAAATAATTATTTGTTTTATTATTATGGTGCTTCCTGTATGTAAATTCTTATAAAATCTTTGCTGTAATAAAATACAAGGAACACCAGTACGATCACAGGACTCAGAAAGGGGAAAACATAATCTTACATATGATACCGTGTTCCCTGAAGTGACCACAAAAATGGAATCACGGATAAATAAATAAAAGAAAGTAAAATATACTTAATCAGGTTAAACATCAAAAATCAGATACATATCTCATTTATTTTCATCCAAATAAAAACACTATGGTCACATTAAAGATATGTTATAAACCAAAAGATCAATATGTTGTGAATTAAAACTTACATTGACTGAGCTTGTAAGTTTATTATAAAAAATACCAGATTAATAAGATTTTTTAGAAATTTCACAATAGTTTTCAATCAAAGCAAAGTTTTATGGTCATGAAAGCATACGACTTTCTGCAGTGGCGTAACGTACACCCCCATATTGCAGGGTGTCCTGGGTTCTAGGGAGCCCAAAGCCAGACAGTCGCCAAGTACTTTGTAAAATCCAACTTGGGGACCCAAATGTCCTCTGTTACACCACTGTCTTTCTGCACTATGTTATAAGATAAATCGGTACTTACATACTATGACAGATTTCTTGCGTGTTTCTGTTCATGTATAACATACCTGCATACAGAAGTTTTTGTACCAAAGCTGGATTAATTTTTGGTACTTGCATATTATCGCAACTGTTTTGGTGAGATTGTATGAAATGAAGCACATGGTCATGTCAATTGAGCATGAACAACATATGGAAAAACAGGGTTGCCATCTATTTTGAACGTTGGCATTGTTGCGATAATATGTAAGTACCAAATTTTTCTTCCTTTAATCTGTTCAGAACTAGTTGATTTTTGCTGTTAAGCTAACCCATTTCAAAAATTTATGGTTTATAATCATTCCAAACCAGATAACACTAGTATGATCACAGGACTCAAAAGGGAAAACGTAATCTCACATATGATACTGTCCCTGAAATGACCACATGTATGTAATCACTGATAAAATAAATAAAAGCGTAAAAAATACTTAATCAGGTTAAATATCAAAAATCTGAATATATCTCATTTATTTTCATCTAAATAAACAAAAAAACTATGGTCACATTAAAGGTGTGTTATAAAAACCCGAAGATCAATATGTTGTAATTAAAACTTTTGTTTGACTGAACTTGTAAGTTTATTATAAAATTACCAGATTAATAAGATTTTTTAGGGAAAAATCACAATAGTTTTCAATCAAAGCAAAGTTTTATGGTCTTGAAAAGTATAGACTTCTGCAGGGGGCATAACATACACCCCATATTGCAGGTGCCCTGGGTCCTACAGGGCCCAAAAAGCCTGACAGTCGCCAAGTACCTACCTTTTGTAAAATCCAACTTGGAGATCCCAAACCTGACTTAGCAGGGGGGCCCAAATGTTCTCTGTTATGCCACTGCCTTTCTGCACTATGTTATAAGATAAATCGGTACTTACATATTATGGTAACAACTGCCAACGTTCAAGATAACTCGCCAAGTTGGCAATACCAATTTTGCATGTGTTGTGTGCGATGAATTGGCAATTTCATGTGTTCCGTTTCATATTATGTTACCAAAAGGCTGTGATAATGTGTAAGTACAGTGATAAATCTAATTTAAACAATGCACATCAATTATTAATAAGACAAAATATCCATTAAATATTAGTAGTTAAGTAGATTTAATTTTTATATTTAATGTCTAATACCGAAAAGTAAAATTCATTCTTGAAATATGTTATATGCTCAATTTTACTAACTAATTTTACTCATTTTGTAATTTCTGTTCTGTTAATTTTGATTCTTTTCAATATTGGGAAAATTTAAAAGAATCATAAAAATAAGTGTATTGAAATTGTTGAAACTCTTAAAAAACTTGGTATGGGAACTTTTAAAACATTTTCTATAACTTAATTAATAAGCTAAAAAGTACTTTTTTTAAATTTCAAGAAATTAATCTCCACAAAAGATTAATAATTGTCAACAAAAACTTATTTTGTAAACTTGCCTTTTGCCTAAACTTGCCACAACATGCAAGCCATTTTAGAGTTCAGTATGAAAATAAAACTAAAATTATTCCAAACTAGAAAAGGAATACTTCAATTATTTGCCTATAAATAAATGCACGAAAAAATAAAAGTAATTTCTGTGGGTTTTGAAAATGTAGTAAAATTTAAATAAATCCTGAATCTTTTAAGTATTGATTTGGATTCAATGTGGGTTGTCTAAAATTGTATTTATTCCCACATTCAAGGCATCTTCTACTAACAGTGTTAGTTGATTAAAAACTTAATACTATGTTCAGTCCATAAAACCATATTCCAAAAAATGTTAGTGCTACAATCACACAAGCATATTCTACTGCAAAACAATACACTACTACGCAAACTTCATGTGACATAATGATTACTGATGACCACCTTTTAAAGCAGAAGCAAAAAAGGGTTTTACTAGTTGGCTATGTGTAATGACATAGATAAAAGTTTTTCCAATTTTGGGGTTTAAAATGTAAAATTGAGGGTCTTTGATTTAGGGCCGGAATTGATCGCCAAACAACTTAATACAAATGCATTACTGGTAACTTGTACTATTTTTTATTTCTCATTAACATTTATTATTTTTTATTGGAAAAATCCACTTCGTAATTTTTTTGTAACACCTATCGCTAAATTAGGCAATTTTCCCAATTTTGGTTGCTACAAAATTAATCTTGCCAAGCCTCCCCTACTCAACACTTAAGCCCAGGATGGGTTTTTTTAAGAATGTTGCTTACAGTTGTTTAGTTTTGATCTGAATAAATCAAACAATTGACTAATGAACCAAATAAATTGCATTAAATTAATAACACTAGTCTTTTTTAAATAATCTGCCAATATAAAGTAAACATTTATCACATAGCTAAATTGGCTGTCAATCATATAGAGTGTATTTAATAATTATACCAGCATATTAAACTTAGATTAAAACAAGTCACGTACTTTCGATTTACAAACAAGAAAAAATCAGAAATAACAACAAAGAATATACTCATTTTAATACTCATGTGTTCCTCCGCGTGTAGCATAGTAGATACGAAATATAGTTCGGTAGATTTAAGAGAACTAAGTTTGCGTTGATCCCTCAATTTTAAAATATCTAGCCAGAATATTAAAACAGCTTCTGTAATCCTGAATATCTTTTAATTTTTCTGAGAGTGTTTTAGGGGTTTTGAGTACATGTACTGTATCAAATTCAAGAAAGGCGTGCGTTCAAATCTGACACGAATATACTATTTTAAATTGAGAATGTACACGAGTTCATTTTGAGTAAGTCTTTTTCTCCGTGTATTGAAACAAAATGAATTTCGCTCTGTACCGGTAATATCTTTAAGAAACATGCAAAAGATCGCCCCTTTACTCCGAAATCTAGAAAACACTGCCCAACGTGGCTTCGACCAGACCGATATTAGGGTCTCGTGCTCAACCGACTGAGCTAGCCGGCGCATTTTGTTTGAATGTTTAGTTTCTGATAGCGCACATCATAATTTCATATTGGGAAAACAAAAATGAATTCAAGTGCCTGTACCGGTAATTTTTAAGAAACATGCGAAAAGATCGCCCTTTACTCCGAATTCTAATTAAAATATTCGCCCCAACGTGGGCTCGAACCTACGACCCCGAGATTAAGAGAGAGTCTCGTGCTATACCGTCTGAGAGCTAGCCGGGCGCATTTGTTTGAATGTTTAGTTTCTGATAGCGGACATCAAAATTTCATATTGAACAAAATGAATTCGCGCTCTGTACCGTTAATTTCTTTTAAGAAACATGCGAAAAGATCGCCCTTTAATCCGAAATCTAATTAAAATACCTTCGCCCAACGTGGGTTTCGAACTCCACGACCCCGAGATTAAGAGCCCCTGCTCTACCGTCTGAGCGCCGGGCGCATTTTGTTTGAATGTTTAGTTTCTGATAGCGACATCAAAATTTCATATTGAAACAAAATGAATTCGCGCTTTGTACCGTTAATTTCTTTTAAGAAACATGCGAAAAGATCGCCCTTTACTCCGAATCTAATTAAAATATCTTCGCCCAACGTGGGTTTCGAAACTCATGACCTTGCGATTAAGAGTCTCGTGCTCTACCGACTGAGCTAGCCGGGCGCATTTTGTTTGAATGTTTAGTTTCATAGCGCACATCATAATTTCATATTGAAACAAAATGAATTCGCGCTCTGTACCGGTAATTTCTTTAAGAAACATGCGAAAAGATCGCTCCCTTTACTTCGAAATCTAATTAAAATATCTTCGCCCAACGTGGGGCTCGAACCCACGACCCCGAGATTACATCTCGTGCTCTACCGGATCGAGCTATCCGGGCGCATTTTGTTTGAATGTTTACCGATAGCGCACATCATACTCTCATATTGAAACAAAATGAATTCGCGCCTGTACCGGTAATTTTTAAGAAACATGCGAAAAGATCGCCGCCTTTACCTGAAATTCCACTAAAGTATTCTGCCCAACGTGGGGTTTCTCTCCGGAACTCACGACCCCGAGATTAAGAGTCTCGTGCTCTACCGACTGAGCTAAGCAGCGGGCGCATTTTGTTTGAATGTTTAGTTTCTGATAGCGCACATCATAATTTCATATTGAAACAAAATGAATTCGCGCCTTTACCGGCAATTTCTTTAAGAAACATGCGAAAAGCATCGCTCCCTTTACTCCGAAATTCCACTAAAATTTCTTCGCCCAACGTGTTTTCCGAACCCACGACCCCGAGATTAAGAGTCTCGTGCTCTACCGACCGAGCTAGCCGGGCGCATTTTGTTTGAATGCTTGGCTTCTGATAGCGCACATCATAATTTCATATTGAACAGGGTAAAATGAATTCCGCGCTCTGTACCGGTAATTTCTTTAAGAAACATGCGAAAAGATCGCCCTTTACTCCGAATTCTAATTAAAATATCTTCGCCCAACGTGGGGCTCGAACCCACGACCCCGAGATTAAGAGTCTCTCGTGCCTCTACCGACTGAGCTGAGCTGGCATTTTTGTTTGAATGTTTAGTTTCTGATAAGGAAGCGCACATCATACTCCCCATATTGAAACAAAATGAATTGCGTTTGTACCGGTAATTTCTTTAAGAAACATGCGAAAAGATCGCCTCTTTACTCCGAATTCTAATTAAAATACCTTCGCCCAACGTGGGCTTCCGGAACCCACGACCCCAGAGATTAAGAGTTCCCGTGCCTCACCGACTGAGCTTAGCCATGCATTTTTTGTTTGAATGTTTAGTTTCTGATAGCGCACATCATAATTTCATATTGAAACAAAATGAATTCTGCGCTCTGTACCGTTAATTTTTAAGAAACATGTGCGCGAAAAGATCGCTGCCTTTACCTGAACAAATCTAATTAAAATATCTTCGCCCAACGTGTGGGGTTTCGAAACCCACGACCCCGAGATTAAGAGTCTTCGTGCTCTACCGACTGAGCTAGCCGGGCGCATTTTGTTTGAATGTTTAGTTTCTGATAGCGCACATCAAAAATTTCCATATTGAAACAAAATGAATTCCGCGCCTGTACCGGTAATTTCCTTTTAAGAAACATGCGAAAAATCAGCGCCTTTACTCCGAAATTCAATTAAAATATTCGCCCAACGTGGGCTCGAACCCACGACCCCGTGATATGAGTCTCGTGCTCTCACCGACTGAGCTACGCGCATTTTGTTTGAATGTTTAGCTTCCCTAATAGCGGACATCAAAATTCCTCATATTGAAACAAAATGAATTCCGCGCGCTCTTGTACCGGTAATTTCTTTAAGAAACATGCGAAAAGATCGCTCCCTTTACTCCGAATTCTAATCAAAATATCTTCGCCCAACGTGGGGCTCGAACCCACGACCCCGAGAGGATTAAGAGTCTCGTGCTCTACCGACTGAGCTAGCTGGCGCATTTTGTTTGAATGTTTAGTTTCTGATAGCGCACATCATAATTTCATATAGAAACAAAATGAATTCCCGCGCTCTGTACCGGTAATTTCCTTTAAGAAACATGCGAAAAGATCGCCCCTTTACTCCGAATTCACTAAAATATCTTCGCCCAACGTGGAAGCTCGAACCCACGACCCCTAGAGATTAAGAGTCTCGTGCTCTACCACCGAGCTAGCCGGGCGCATTTTGTTTGAATGTTTAGTTTCTGGATAGGCGCACATCATAATTTCATATTGAAACAAAATGAATTCGCGCTCTGTACCGGTAATTTCTTTAAGAAACATGCGAAAAGATCGCCCCTTTACCCGAATTCTAATTAAATATCTTTTGCCCAACGGGGCTCAAACCCACGACCCCGAGATTAAGAGTCCCGTGCTCTTACCGACTGAGCTACGCGCATTTGTTTGAATGTTTAGTTTCTGATAGCGCACATCAAAATTTCATATTGGAAACAAAATGAATTCCGCGCTCTGTACCGGTAATTCTTAAAGAAACATGCGCGAAAAGATCGCTGCTCTTTACCCGAATTCTACTCAAATATCTTCGAACAACGTGGGGTTTTAAACCCACGACCCCGAGATTAAGAGTCTCGTGCCCTCTACCGACTGAGCTGCCGGGCGCATTTTGTTTTGAATGTTTAGTTTCTGATAGCGACATCAAAATCGGAGCATTGAAACAAAATGAATTCGCGCTCTGTAACCGGTAATTTCTTTAAGAAACATGCGAAAAAATCGCTCCCTTTACTCCGAATTTAATTAAAATATCTTCGCCCAACGTGGGGCTCGAACCCACGACCCCGAGATTAAGAGTCTCGTGCTCTACCGACTGAGCTAGCCGGGCGCATTTTGTTTGAATGTTTAGTTTCTGATAGCGCTACCATCATACTTCATATTGAAACAAAATGAATTCGCGCTCTGTACCGGTAATTTCTTTAAGAAACATGCGAAAAGATCGCTCCCTTTACTCCGAATTCTAATTAAAATATCTTCGCCCAACGTGGGGCTCGAACCCACGACCCCGAGATTAAGAGTCTCGTGCTCTACCGACTGAGCTAGCCGGGCGCATTTTGTTTGAATGTTTAGTTTCTGATAGCGGACATCAAAATTTCATATTGAAACAAAATGAATTCGCGCTCTGTACCGGTAATTTCTTTAAGAAACATGCGAAAAGATCGCTCCCTTTACTCCGAATTCTAATTAAAATATCTTCGCCCAACTTGGGTCTCGTGCTCTACCGACTGAAAGCTAGCCGGGCGCATTTTGTTTGAATGTTTAGTTTCTGATAGCGCACATCATAATTTCATATTGAAACAAAATGAATGCGCTCTGTACCGGTGTAATTTCTTTAAGAAACATGAAAAGATCGCTCCTTTACTCCGAATTCTAATTAAAATATCTTCGCCCAACGTGGGGCTCGAACCCACGACCCCGAGATTAAGAGTCTCGTGCTCTAAACGTGACTGAGCTAGCCGGGCGCTGCTTTGTTTGAATGTTTAGCTTCTGATAGCGCACATCATACTTCATATTGGAAACAAAATGAATTCGCGCTCTTGTACCGGTAATTTCTTTAAGAAACATGCGAAAAAGATCGCTGCCTTTACTCCGAAATCTACCAAAATTTCTTCGCCCAACGTGTGGGCTCCGCGAAACCCACGACCCCGAGATTAAGAGAGTTCTGTGCTCTACTGACTGAGCTAGCCGGGCGCATTTTGTTTGAATGTTTAGTTTCGATAGCGCACATCATAATTTCATATTGAAACAAAATGAATTCGCGCTCTGTAAAACAGTAATTTTTAAGAAACATGCGAAAAGATCGCCCCTTTACTCCGAAATCTAATTAAAATTTCTTCTGCCCAACGGGGTTTCCCGAAACCCACGACCCGAGATTAAGAGTCTCGTGCCTTCTACCGACTGAGCCAGCCGGGCGCAATTTGTTTGAATGTTTAGTTTCTGATAGCGCGGCCATCATAATTTTTCATATTGAAACAAAATGAATCTGCGCTCTCTGTACCGTAATTTCTTTAAGAAACATGGCGACGCTCCTTTACTCCGAAATCTAATAAAATTCTCGCCCAACGTGTGGGCTCCCCGGAACCCACGTGACCCCGAGAGAGAGAGAGATTAAGAGAGTCTCGTGCTCTACCGACTGAGCTTAGCCGGGCGCATTTTGTTTGAATGTTTAGTTTCTGATAGCGCACATCATAATTTCATAATGAAACAAATGAATTCGCGCCTGCACGTAATTTCCTTTAAGAAACATGAAAAGATCGCTGCCTTTACTCCGGAAATCTAATTAAAATTTCTTTTCGCCCAACGTGGGCTCCGAACCCACGACACCGAGATTAAGAGTCTCGTGCTCTACCGACTGAGCAGCCGGGCGCATTTTGTTTGAATGTTTAGTTTGATAGCGCACATCATACCCTCATATTGAAACAAAGCGAATTCGCGCTCTGTACCGGTACTTTTTAAGAAAATATGCGAAAAGATGTTCCCCTTTACCCGAAATCTAATTAAAATTTCTTCTGCCCAAAGTGGGTTTCTCGGTAAACCCACGACCCCGAGATTAAGAGTCTCGTGCTCTACCGACGGAGGCCAGCTGGGCGCATTTTGTTTGAATGTTTAGTTTCTGATAGCGCACATCATACTTCATATTGAAACAAACGAATCGCGCTCTGTACCGGTAATCACTTTCTTTAAGAAACATGCGAAAAGATCGCCCTTTACCCGAAATCTAATTAAAATATTCGCCCAACTTGGGGCTCGAACCCACGACCCCAAGATTAAGAGTCTCGTGCTCTACCGACTGAGCTAGCCGGGCGCATTTTGTTTGAATGTTTAGTTTCTGATAGCGCACATCAAAATTTCATATTGAAATAAATGAATTCGCTGTCTGTACCGGTAATTTCTTTTTAAGAAACATGCGAAAAGATCGCTGCCTTTACTCCGAATTCTAATTGGTAAATATCTTCGCCCAACGTGGGCTTCCGGAACCCACGACCCCGAGATTAAGAGTCTCGTGCTCTCTACCGACTGAGCTAGCTTATTTGACGAATGTTTAGGCTTCTGATAGCGCACATCATACTCCCCATATTGAAACAAAATGAATTCACGTTTGTACCGTTAATTTCTTTTTAAGAAACATGCGAAAAGATCGCTGCCTTTACTCCGAAATCTAATTAAAATATCTTCGCCCAACGTGGGGCTCGAACCCACGACCCCGAGATTAAGAGTCTCGTGCTCTACCGACTGAGCTTAGCCAAGCATTTTGTTTGAATAAGTTTATTTTCATAGCGCACATCAAAATTCTCTATATTGAAACAAAATGAATTCTCCGCGCTCTGTACCGGTAATTTCTTTTTAAGAAACATGCGAAAAGATCGCCGCCTTTACTCCGGAAATCTAATTAAAATATCTTCAAGCCCAACGTGGGCTGAACCCACGACCCCGAGATTAAGAGTCTCGTGCTCTACCGACTGGAGCTTCAGCCGGGCGCATTTGGTTTGAATGTTTAGTTTCTGAGAAAAACATCATAATTTCATATTGTTCGTAAAAATGAATTTCACGTACCGGTAATTTCCTTTAAGAAACATGCGAAAAGATCGCTGCCTTTTACCCGAAATCTAATTAAATTTTTTTCGCCCAACGGGGTTCCCGCGGACCGCACGACCCTAGATTAAGAGTCTCGTGCTCACCGACTGAGCTAGTCGGGCGCATTTGCTTTGAATGTTTAGTTTCTGATAGCGCACATCATAATTTCATTGAAACAAAATGAATTCAAGTGCTCTGTACCGGTAATTTCTTTAAGAAACATGCGAAAAAAGATCGCTGCCTTACTCCGAAATCTAATTAAAAATTTCTTCGCCCAACGTGGGGTTTCGAAAACCCACGACCAGAGATTAAGAGTCTCGCTCTACCGACTGAGCTAGCTGCGCATTTTGTTTGAATGTTTAGTTTCCTGATAGCGCGCCATCATACTCATATTGAAACAAAATGAGTTCGCGCTCTGTACCGGTAATTTCTTTAAGAAACATGCGAAAAGATCGCTGCCTTTAATTCGAAATCTAATTAAAATTTTCGCCCAACGGGGCCCAAACCCACGACACCGAGATAAGAGTCTCGTGCTTCCTACTGACTGAGGTAGCTCGGGCGCATTTTTGTTTGAATGTTTAGTTTCTGATAGCGCACATCATATTTTCATATTGAAACAAAACACTCCCGCGCTCTGTACCGGTAATTTCTTTAAGAAACATGCGAAAAGCATCGCCCCTTTACTCCGAAATCTACTGTACTTCGCCCAAAGTAAGCCTTCCCGGAACCCACGACCCTGAGATTAAGAGTCTCTGTGCTCTACCGACGGAGCTAGCCGGGCGCATTTTGTTTGAATGTTTAGTTTCTGATAGCGCACATCATAATTTCATATTGAAACAAAACAGAATTCGCGCTCTGTACCGGTAATCTTTTAAGAAACATGCGAAAAGATCGCCCCTTTACTCCGAAATCTAATTAAAGCCAAGCTCAACGTGGGCTCGGGAACCCACGACCCCAAGATTAAGTGTTCTGTGCTCTACCGACTGAGCTTGAAGCTGGGCGCATTTTCTTGTTTGAATGTTTAGTTTCTGATAAGCGCACATCAAAATTTCATATTGAAATAAAATGAATTCGCGCTCTGTACCGTTAATTTCTTTTAAGAAACATGCGAAAAAGATCGCTGCCTTTTGTATCTTTGAATTCTAATTAAAATATTCGCCCAACGTGGCCTTCCTGAACCCACGACCCTGAGATTAAGAGTTCCGTGCTCTACCGACTGAGCTAGCCGGGCGCATTTTTTATGGAATGTTTAGTTTCTGATAGGCGCACATCATAATTTCATATTGAAACAAATGAATTCGCGCTCTTGTACCGGTAATTTTAAGAAACATGCAGATGGCCTCTTTACTCCGAATTTACTAAAATATCTTCGCCCAACGTGGGCTTCCCGAACCCACGACCCCGAGATTAAGAGCGTCTCGTGCTCTACCGACTGAGTGTAGCCGCCGGGCGCATTTTGTTTGAATGTTTAGTTTCTGATAGCGCACATCATAATTTCATATATTGAAACAAAATGAATTCGCGCTCTGTACCGGTAATTTCTTTAAGGAACATGAAAGTTATCGCTCCTTTACCCGAAATTCCACTAAAATATCTCGCCCAACGTGGGCTCGAATCCACGACCCAAAAGATTAAGAGTCTCGTGCTCTCTACCGACTGAGCTAGCCGGGCGCATTTGTTTGAATGTTTAGTTTCTGATAGCGGACATCAAAATTTCATATTGAAACAAAATGAATTCGCGCCTGTACCGGTAATTTTAAGAAAACATGCGAAAAAATTGCCCCTTTACTCCGAATTTAATTAAAATATTCGCCCAACGTGGGGTTTCCTCGAACCGACGACCCCAGGATGAAGATCTCGTGCTCTTACCTGACCGAGCTAGCCGGGCGCATTTTTGTTTGAATGTTTAGTTCTGATAGCGCACATCATAATTTCATATTGAAACAAAATGAATTCGCGCTCTTGTACCGGCAATTTCTTTAAGAAACATGCGAAAAGATCGCTGCCTTTACCTGAAATCTAATTAAAAATATTCGCTCAACGTGGGAAGCCTGAAACCCACGACCCCGAGGTTAAGAGTCTCGTGCTCTACCGACTGAGCTACGGGCGCATTTTGATTGAATGTTTAGTTTCTGATAGCGCACATCATAATTCTCCATATTGAAACAAAATGAATTCACGCTCTGTACCGTTAATTTCTTTTAAGAAACATGCGAAAAGATCGCTGCCTTCTTTACTCCGAAATCTAATTAAAATATCTTCGCCCAACGCTTCCGGAACCCACGACCCTGAGATAAGAGTCTCGTGCTCTACCGGACTGAGCTGAAGCTGCACATTTTGTTTGAATGTTTATTTCTGATAGTACATCAAAATTTCTTATATTGAAACAAAATGAATCTGCGCTCTGTACCGGTAATTTCTTTTAAGAAACATGCGAAAAGACGCTGCCTTTACTCCGAAATCTAATTAGTAAAATATCTTCGCCCAACGTGGGTTTTCCTCCGAACCCACGACCCCGAGATTAAGAGTCCGTGCCTCTACCGACTGAGCTAGCCGGGCGCATTTGGTTTGAATGTTTAGTTTCTGATAGCGCACATCATAATTTCATATTGAAAACAAAATGAATTCGCGCTCTACCGGTAATTTTTTAAGAAACATGCGAAAAGATCGCTGCCTTTACTCCGAAATCTAATTAAAATTTCTTTCGCCCAACGTGTTTCCGAACCTAATGACCCCGAGATTAAGAGTCTCGTGCTCTACCGACTGAGCTTAGCCGCGCATTTTGTTGGTTTGAGTGTTTAGTTTCCTGGATAGCGCACATCATAATTTCATATTGGAAAACAAAATGAATTCGCGCTCTGTACCGGTAATTTCTTTAAGAAAACATGCGAAAAGATCGCCTCCCTTTTACTCCGACTCAATTTAAAATATCTTCGCCCAACGTGGGGCTCGAACCCACGACCCCGAGATTCAGAGTCTCGTGCTCTACCGACTGAGCTAGACGGGCGCATTTTGTTTGAATGTTTAGTTTCTGATAGCAGACATCAAAAATTTCATATTGAAACAAAATGAATTCGCGCTCTGTACCGGTGTAATTTCTTTAAGAAACATGCGAAAAGATCGCCCTTTACTCCGAATTTACTAAAATTGAGCCCGCCCAACGTGGGCTTCGGAAACCCACGACCCCGAGATTAAGTATCCTGTGCTCTACCGACTGAGCTAGCCGGGCGCATTTTGTTTGAATGTTTAGTTTCTGATAGCGCACATCATAATTTCATATTGAAACAAAATGAATTCGCGCTCTGTACCGGTAATTTCTTTAAGAAACATGCGAAAAGATCGCTCCCTTTACTCCGAAATCTAATTAAAATATCTTCGCCCAACGTGGGGCTCGAACCCACGACCCCGAGATTAAGAGTCTCGTGCTCTACCGACTGAGCTAGCCGGGCGCATTTTGTTTGAATGTTTAGTTTCTGATAGCGCACATCAAAATTTCATATTGAAATAAATGAATTCGCGCTCTGTACCGTTAATTTCTTTAAGAAACATGCGAAAAGATCGCTGCCTTTACTCCGAATTCTAATTAAAATATCTTCGCCCAACGTGGGGCTCGAACCCACGACCCCGAGATTAAGAGTCTCGTGCTCTACCGACTGAGCTAGCCGGGCGCATTTTGTTTGAATGTTTAGTTTCTGATAGCGCACATCATAATTTCATATTGAAACAAAATGAATTCGCGCTCTGTACCGGCAGGTAATTTCTTTTAAGAAACATGCGAAAAGTATGGCCTTTACTCCGAATTCTACTAAAAATATCTTCGCCCGTGGGCTCTCGAACCCACGACCCCGAGATGCGAGTCTCGTGCTCTCTACCGACTGAGTGTAGCTGCCATTTTGTTTGAATGTTTATTTCTGATAGCGCACATCATACTTCATATTGAAACAAAAATGAATTCGCGCTCTGTACCGGTAATTTCTTTAAGAAACATGCGAAAAGATCGCTCCCTTTACTCCGAAATCTAATTAAAATATCTTCGCCCAACGTGGGGCTCGAACCCACGTGACCCAAAGATTAAGAGTCTTGTGCTCTACCGACTGAGCCAGCCGGGCGGCATTTTGTTTGAATACACTTCTGGACAGCGACATCAAAATTTCATATTGAACAAAATGAATTCGCGCTCTGGGTAAATCGGTAATTTCTTTTAAGAAACATGCGAAAAATCGCTCCCTTTACTCCGAATTCTAATTAAAATATTCGCCCAACGGGTTGAACTTATCGACCCCGAGATTAAGAGTTCGTGCTCTCACCGACTGAGCTAGCCGGGCGCATTTTCTTGTTTGAATGTTTAGTTTCTTGATAGCGCACACACGCAATTTCATTGAAACAAAATGAATTCGCGCTCTGTACCGGTAATTTCTTTAAGAAACATGCGAAAAGATCGCTCCCTTTACTCCGAAATCTAATTAAAATATCTTCGCCCAACGTGGGCCTTCCGAAACCTACCAACACCCCTGAGGTTAAGAGTCTGTGCTCTACCGGACTGAGCTAGCCGGGCATTTGATTGATCGTTTAGTTTGATAGCGCACATCATAATTTCATATTGAAACAAAATGAATTCACGCTCTGTACCGTTAATTTTTAAGAAAAACATGAAAGACGCTGCCTTTAATTCGAAATCTAATACTGTACCATTCTCGCCCAACGGGGTTTCGAACCCACGACCCCGAGATTAAGAGTCTCGTGCTCTACCGACTGAGCTAGCCGGGCGCATTTTGTTTGAATGTTTAGTTTCTGATAGCGCACATCGTACCTTCATATTGAAACAAAATGAATTCGCGCTCTGTACCGGTAATTTCTTTTAAGAAACATGAAAAGATCGCTTCCTTTACTCCGAAATCTAATTAAAAATATTCGCCCAACGTGGGGCTTCCGGAACCGACCCCGAGATTAAGAGTCTCGTGCTCTACCGACTGAGCTTGTGCCGGGCGCATTTGGTTTGAATGCTTAGTTTCTATAGCGCACATCATAATTTCATATTGAAACAAAATGAATTCGCGCTCTGTACCGGTAATTTCTTTAAGAAACATGCGAAAAGATCGCTGCCTTTACTCCGAAATCTAATTAAAATTCTCCTTCGCCCAAATGGGCTCGAAACCCACGACCCCGAGATTAAGAGTCTCTCGTGCTCTACCGATTCTAGCCGGGCGCATTTTGTTTGAGTGTTTAGTTTCTGATAGCGCACATCATAATTTCATATTGAAACAAAATGAATTCGCGCTCTGTACCGGTAATTTCTTTAAGAAACATGCGAAAAGACGCCCACCTGAATTCTACTAAAATATCTTCGCCCAATCGGGGCTGGAACCACGACCCCGAGATTAAGAGTTCCGTGCTCTACCGACTGAGTTGTGACGGGCGCATTTTGTTTGATTCGCTTGTACTTCTGATAGCAGACATCAAAATTTCATATTGAAATGAAAATGAACGCGCCGTACCGGCAATTTTTGCCCATGCGAAAAGATCGCTCCCTTTACTCCGAATTCTAATTAAAATATCTTCGCCCAACGTGGGGCTCGAACCCACGACCCCGAGATTAAGAGTCTCGTGCTCTACCGACTGAGCTAGCCGGGCGCATTTTGTTTGAATGTTTAGTTTCTGATAGCGCACATCATAGCAATACGTAACTGAACGAAGCATGTACTGAT